AGGCGTGGTTTGTTGGGATGGTCTAAAGGGAGAGGCATAGTTGTGTATGTTCAAAAATATAGCTTGCTGGAACTGTTTTCCAAGATCTCCTACAGCACCTTTAAGATGTATATTTTAAAATGTGCAGACAAATTTGGCCAGTGACAGTAATTATATGACTTTGAACTTGATCAGCCAGTCCTAAAATGTTAAGTCGACTGCAGCCTTCAGTGAGAATGCTGTTACTAAAGGGAAATAAAACTAAAAGTCAGTTATTTGCTGTATCAACGAGGTGTAGTCAGATGAATAGCAGAAATGTAAGAAGCAATATAAAAGGTAAGACTTCTAAAACATGTTGAGGCATGTCTGCAGAAAACGGGGAGCCGATAACACGATGGCTAAAGAGATCCCAGCCAGGACGTCGATCTTTTGACTGGAGCTTTTAGAAACATTGGGATGTCAGGTGATAGCATTAAATATAATACCGTATGTAATTAAAAACATATGTGATAGCATTACACAGAATAGAACAATAGAAGAACAATTTGTGATGATTTTGTTTTATATTTGCCAATATTCTTTACATTTTCCAACCAAAATAAAAAAAATAAATACTAAATCACTTCAGGCTGTTGTTTGATTTATACTATTAGGTACTTTTCGATTTGTTTTGAATGTTTAATTAAAAGTCTAAGCTTACACCACTTTAAAATTAGATAATTTTGCTTGATCTGACCCAAGATATGACCCCATGGTCTTTCTGCATGCAGTTTGGTTTGCATTTCCTTCTTGTGTATGCGTGGGTCCTCCCCGGGTACTCCAGCTTCCTCTCACAGACCAAAAACATTAATTTTAGGTTAATTGGCTTCTCTAAATTGTTCTTGAGTGTGAATTTGTGTCTGCATGGTTATAAGTCTCTGTATTGCCCTGGCGACCTGTCCAGGTGCTACACCGCATCTCACCCATAGACAGCATGGGTGCCGGCCCCAACGCGACCCTAACGGCATAAGCAGCAGAAGACGGATGGATGCATAATAATAATGTTAATAACCTTAATCTTTTCATTTATTTTTTTGCAGATTTCGACAGGGACGTTTACTTTAAAAAAAAGTGGGGAATCTCAGCCAACTCTGATAGAGGTGATCAGAGGAGATAGATGAGGTGGCAAATCATAACTTTTTTTTTTTTTATCTGTTTAAAACCTCTAGACGTTTGAATTACAAATCCCTCTGATAAGAGAGAGAGGATGCAGCAGGCAGTGAATGTGCTCAAAATCCATGGATCATTTTCTAAAATCATTTTCCTCTCACTTTTTTGTGTTATTTTTAAACCAAAAGTGGGTACGCAACCATATATAGTGACATTATGAACCATTGCATTTTCTGCATGAAAATACATTTTCTTAAAAAGTAAAAAAAAAAGTTGCAAAAAACATCCCCTTTTCAAACTAATATATCAAACCCTCAAGTAAAATTTATAATAAAATATAATAATATAATTTCTACTTGGGAGTAGATTTTGTGAATATTTAAGTATAAATATGAGTGCCACGTAGGGAGGAAAACCAAAACTTACAAATTCTGATCAGTGCACCCGAGGAGATATTAATCTTAATATTTCTGTATTTCCATTCAAATAGTCAACAATCAGCATAATGTACATACACAGCTCCAAGATGGTGAAAAGGTTAGTTAATCAGGCGATCTGCTGTGTTCAACACAGAGCATCCTGGCTACATGACACAAGTCTCTGTGTGTATGCTTGTGAGTTGGATAGTTCTCTGCAATAAGAGCTGTGAGACAGAGTCCCAGACTGCTGATGGGAGATTAGAGGTGAGACGTCTAATCTCAATGTAATCAGGCCCTGCATCTGAGCCTTTGCTCCACACCAACAGGTCCAAACAGAAACTCATCTCACAGAAAACACGGCCCTGATGAAGTAAAAGATGGTGATGGGGAGTATCTGGTGTCAACCATCAAAGTCTGAGAGGGAAAAAAAGAAAAGCAGGTAAAATTTAATTATTTTTCTCTCATGTCTTGGAGGCTCAGGCTGTTTTGACAGGAATTAGTCCATATAACAGAGTGAGTGGTAAAACTGCCAAGGACGTGTTCAGGAAAACCACAGCTAAATACTTAATGATAATTAAAGCTTGGTGGTAAAAAAAAAAAAAAAAAAAAATGGCATCAGAGAGGTGCAGAGAGATCAAGGGAAATGAGCATTTTAAGTTATGTTAAGACAAATAATCTGTGAAAAAAAAGCATTAAAAGTGGACATTACAGCTTCTGGAGAAAGGACAAGTATCTGTTTTCATCTAGGACACTTCACCTTCTGATGGCTCAATGATTAGTGAATTTGGGTAGATAGAGGAGAGGGAAGTGGAGGAGAAGAGGCTGCCAGTGAACAGCTGCCCCTGTAATTTATATTGATGAGGGGACTGGCATGGCAGGGAGCTTCCAGCAGTTTGATCACTCAGGCAGAGTAGAGAGTCAGCGAGACACCACCAATCTCTGTGGTTTAGGTTGGAGTAGGGAGACCTCTTAAAATCACACACACACATTCACAGAAACCATACTTTTATGAGGTGTACCTTGAAAAACGATTTATTCTAAGCAAACTTTTCCACATTTTTTCATATTACTCTCAAATTTTCATGTAGCTTATAGCAGAGTTGGACATAACCTATGCATGATTTTAAAAACTAAAACTGTGACATGTTTTTGTATTTAGACCAATCTGATACACTGGAAGCTGATTTCAGAGAGCTGACATACTGCTTTGTCGGACGGTGTTGAAGAAATCATCTGATCCTGAATGCGACTAAAAAAGGGAGACAATTGTAGATTTTAAGCAAAAAAAATAAATAAATAAAAAAGTAAAACCCTATAGCCGTCATGGGGGACGAAGCAGAGGTGGTGGAGGGGTAAAAATGGTTTGGTTTTTACCTGAACAGCAGGCTGCAACGAAAATGCAGCTATGAAAATGTATACAAGAAAGGATGGAGCGGACTGATTTGAGGATGCTAAGGTCCTTGGAAGGAAAAATAAAGACAGCTGCAAGGAGACTTGTTTAAATCTGCTGCAATCTATCTGGAGGACACAGAAAAGATTATTATTGCTTTGAATGGAGGAAAACCAACACCAAACGACAACCTAAACTCACCATTGCCATGATAAATGTGGTTGGCAGCATTAAGCTTTGGGTTCTTTCATCAGTAAGGACTTATAAACTGGTCAGAACTGATGGGGAGATCGGTTGAGATAATTACAGGGACATCCTGAAAGCTATTAATCATACAAAGCTGATAGAGACATGCTCTTAAAAAATACGAAGCTGTAACGTCAGGAAAAGTTTGTCCTACAAAATAAAGACTAAGAAGGGCTGGATATAAGCATAGAACAATTGTATTTATTAAAATAAAAAAATAAAAAAAACACTAACAATTTCCAGTAACCCAATATTCACTGTTCCCAGTCATAAAAAAAAAAAAAAAAGTGTAGGCATAACCTGGCAAATCACAATGTTATCATTCTAAGAACAGAGATAGATCCACCGGCTGGCTATAAGCATGTGGGGCAGAAACATCTCCCTCATTATTACTCCACCAACCATATAATCACCAAGCTCCCCCTTTACAACCTCAATGACCATTAACTGGCCCTTGAACTCCTTCTGATCGCGCAGCCCTGATGAGGCGCTGCAGCCGCTTCCTGTCTGTGAGGCAGAGCAATCAGATACTTGTTAAGGAGATTTACTTTGATTTTTTTTTTTTCTCAGAGTTATGATTTGAATATTTCTAACTGAAATGAGATGGTTAAGTCCAGTTTCAGCCTAGGGCTTTTAAATTCAACACTCTTAAATTATACTCTTTGATTTGGGTCCCTTTTTTCCCCTCCGTATGGAGGTGCTTAAAGTAGCACTAATTAAGTTGGTGGGACAAGAGAACTATGGGTCAAAATGTGTGTTCCTCTCAACATTAAGAGACCCTGACCCCAGCATATAATTATAGTAGCACCTCCAGACAAGCAAATAGCTTAACACATCTTCATTCTGCACCGTCTGAGCAAGGTAGAGCTGTGTAGCATTGCAGACCATATCCTTTGCTCCACTGCCTGATGTAACCGAGAGCCGGGGTGCTTTATGCTCACAGTCTAAAACGCTCCGACCGCTCTTACAAAAAGCCCCTCTGGCTTCCCCCTCTCCACAAGTTGCATCAGAGCGATCAGAGAAAAAGAATAGCCTTCAGGGCTAGTTTCTTCCATTCACACAGAGGGATACAAATACACACATAAGCCTTTTTGTTGCATACACAGACAGGCAGCAGAACATCCCCACAAAAAAAAAAAAAAAAAAAAAAATTACATGCGTTTTCAATTGCACTTCACACATGCCAAAATACTGTACAAATCACCAGGAGATTATTGATTCCTGCAGGTTTGGCTGCTCATCAATTCTTAACGTGAGGAGTGAAATTTAAAAGGCTGAGCTTCACAGTATTACTGTAGCGCTTGCAGATGCCTTGCATGTTAGATTAGAGAAACGTGTCAACGCCTGCCCTGATATCTTTCAATTTTTGCCGATATAATCTGTATTGAAGAACATAGAAGTCTGGTAGTTAGTGCAGCCTCAGAGGTTACAAACCACCATACAACACCACATCCTTGTTGTTCAGCTGCAATATCTTGCAGAAAACAAAGAGATGCTATACCACACTGTCTGCTACAAATGTGCATGATTATCTAGCAAGTCACAAGACTGCACAGCATTTTGATTTCCTCTCGGGGTTATCATTTTCTTTACAGTACACAAGAGAAGAAATACAAAGAAGTGAGAGTGAGATAGATTTCAGAAAGGAAATCTACTGTGTCAGGCAAAACTGAAAAATAAGCAGATGGGAGACAAATACAGTCACTGGATCGCCCATCTATATGAAACAAGAGACATTTTCCCCACATAATGATGGGCTTTGCATAAAGCTTTAACAACTCAGAGTTTCTAATGAAGACAAAAAAAATAGTACTTACAAGTGTGTGTCTTCTTTGTGACTGAGATACCTGCAAAGATGAAACGAAATATATTAAAGCCTACAGTCACTAATACAAAAGGCAGAAATATCATTTTTTTAAAATATATATTTTCCAAAATCTACAAAAATTATATTAATAATAATGAAACTAGAAGGTGAACTTTAAATGAGATAGCTAGAAGTTTAACTCCTCCTGGGGAGTAGGTGGCACACTCGCATGCTCTCATTCCAACTTTGGCTACTGTGGTCTGGACCTACTGTGGATGTGTTATTTCTTTTTAAATAAGTTGCTTCAATTAAAAATTTTGTGGAATGAAGGTTTTTCCTTGGCCTATTTTGTGTGATAAAATGTTAGTTTGAATAGAAGTAATGATAGAGAAATTCTGTACCATTCACTATGCTATACTGTTTAGGGGGACAGAAAGCAGGTGTCTCCCCTCCCTACTCTAGATAAGGGTAAGGGGAAGGTCATTAGAAATAAGGAGTTCATATAAAGCCTCCTTCATGCTATGGTCAAAACTTATGCTCTTATCGTTCTCCCGTCACTGTTTCTGGTGTGAACGGAATACAGTTGTTTATCTGAGCAAATTTATGTCCTAGGGGTAGGGGTATGTTTCTGAATGCTTCAGAATCACACTCAGCTGTATTCAGCTGTTTTGTGCCATTCTCCTCTGCAGAGTAAAATAAAACGCTTTCTTCCTTGCATATCAACTCTCAGTGCTCATTTTTACTTCACAATTTGCAGTTTTGACAACCTGGTCTCACATCTTTTGAACCATGATTGTCCTGCTTTTAGCTAAACCCATCATCCAATTTGGCCAGACAACCTTCAATTTGCTTCTTGAAAAAAATTCACAGCAAAGACTGATGCTGTTGACTTGTTCAGCGATCTGTACTACAGGAGTTTAGCACCACATACGGTGCCTTATCATCAAACACAACGCAAATGCAAACTTAAAAGCATGTGCAAAGCTTATCTACATTCAAGGTGAAATTTTTTGTTTTGTTTTGTTTATGTGAGTGTGCCTTCATGAATAACAAGATCATATCCTAATGACCAAAACCTACAAACTTATGGGTGGAAGATATGCAAATTAAAAAATATACCTACAAAATTATTCATCCACTTTGAGCACCTTTTTTGCATCTCTTATTAGTACATTCAAATTAGGGTACAAATTAATTAATTCTACAATTGTGGTAACAAAGGAGGCAGTGATACAAATAGAGACAAGACAAAAAGAAGAGAGAGACTTTGTATGCATGTAAACATATCTGGATTGTCAAAAAACAAGTAGATTATTTGTGGGGAAAAAAGGCATCTGCTCGGACCACTGTGAATTAATGCAGCAAGAACCAAACAATCTTTATGCAGTTAAACCAAAATGAGCTAAAAAAGCACTCGGAGAGAACAGACCTGTCCGCCAAGCAGCAAATTATACCCCAAATTGTGATTTACACCTAAAGCTAAAACTACCAAATACCAAATTGAAATTAATTGTTCCTTGGCATGAGGCACACCTCAATGTTAGAAGCACACCGATGCATCTTTTAAAATTCATATATATATATATATATATATATATATATATATATATATATATATATATATATATATATATATATATATATATATATGAACATCCGGCCCATAAAAGAAATTTTGGGAGAAAGTCAAAATCTGTAATCTTAACTTGTGGTGAGAGGGATTACTTTTCTTCCTCATAGTTTCTTTATAAACTCTTGATGAAAACAGTTAAGTTGTATAAAATAATTTTGGGCCCATCATATTTTGTCATATTTTTGATCAATTGAAGCAGTTTAGAGTGTAAACTTGCTGTAAATCTAACCGTGATTTTTTCTTTATTAGAGGTATGTTGGAGGAAGTAGCAGAAAAATGCAGCATTTTCAGTTATTATGAGTGAATTAAAATCTTTTTAAATTTAACCTATTATCATATTTTAATTTGAACATATTTAACATTTTTTTTACTTTTTGTAGCATTATAAGATACTAGCAATAATAAGAATGATTATTCTATATTTTTCAACAATTATTATGAATATTACATATAACTCCAATGCTTAGAACCCATCCTTTCTTAAGGCCACAATTTGCTCCTTTTAATGGAGCGGACCAAAGCTTTTGCTCATCGTGCTCCTAGTGCGCACAGTATCTATAGTTCAACAGCTACATAGCCGCTTATTGCACAAGCAGTTTTTTGTTTTTTTTTTCCCAGTCAATTTGGCATCTTTTATTTTGATTCTATGAAGATCAGGCTCTGTATGTGTGCTGGCTAGTTTGTCAGTTAAGGTTTTTGCTATATCAAAAACTGTCACAAGGTGGTTATGAGTATAATTTCCAAGCAAAAGAGGAAATTTAAATAAAAAACAAACAACATTTGGAATACTAATGCACTGCCTACTGATTAGGCCGGGGAAAATGAGTAATCTTCAGTGCCTAAGGGGAATGAAGGCACTTTGACCGAAGTGTCCATAAATCCATACAATCTATAGAAAAAATAAAAAATGACAAGTGCAAAAATATTGTATCTGAAAGCACATGTCAGGCGTAGCCTTTTCTTATGCCAGGTAATGCAGTAGTAAATATCTATCAGTGTTCAGAACTTTGGATAAAAATAAAAACCTTAAATGATATATTAATAATAACGTCTTTTGGGGGTCGACCCATTGAGCAGCTGCTTTAGATCGTACTGTGACTCCTCCTGTCTGAAACATCGGTCTAACGCCTCAGGAGTCTGGCACAGACAAACGCCGAGCTAACCAAAGTCCCCCACGGCCCTGTTGCACACTCATGCTATGCAGGACAGAGAGCACAATAATAGATCCCACTTGTCATGCGGAAGCAATGGCTAATTTTTTCTACAGCCTGCATTTGAAACTCAGGGGACAGCATTTTGACATGATTCAATAACTCGCAGAAGAACAGGAAGAGAAAAAAAAGGCGTCTGGCCATAGATAACGATGCTTCAAACATGTAGGAAGGGGAAGCAAGTCAAAGAGCAACGAGGGGGAAAACAAATAAGCCCTTCAGTCTTTTATGGACATAGCACAAACCTACAAATTATATCAACTCCACAAGGCAGAAAAGAGGAGTGTGTGGACTTGTTATTATCATGGTGTGGGGACTTTTATCTGTTTTTACAGTCATGTAATAGGGACCTATGTCCTTATGGGGACCAAAAACCTTTTCCTCATATGGTAAAGTTCTCTTCTTTGAGGACTAAAGTGTGATTTCAGTTCAGGTTGGGGTTAGGGTACGTGTTGGGGTTAGGCAATATAAAATGAAATTAAATCACTGAAATGTCCCCATAAGTGATGAAAATATGAATCTGTGTGTGTTGAAGGTGGGGGCGGGGGGCTTGAGAGTCACCTAGGGGCTGTCAGTCTTTGATGCAGCTCCGACATTGTTCTTGTGCTCCAGGCAAAAAAAACTTCAGCTTGGTTCAACTTTAGCTTTATGCAAAGAAAACATAAACTAAAATGCTGCCTTAAATCAACACCTTAGTGAAATGACATGGAATTCATTTTGATCTGATGTTGAACTAACGACGAGCTGTGTCTATATGGTGCACAACAAGACAGAAGAAAAAAAAAAAAAACTGTAACGGTTTCTGTTTCAAGGTAGGACATTTTTTTTTTTTAGACCACAGCTGGTGTGTGTAGTGGTTACTGAATTACACAGAAATAGACTGTGTTTTCCTGGATTTTTGTCGGCCTCTTGTAATCTCAAAAAAACAAACAAAAACAAACCAGCAAAAAAAACCTCAGCCGTTTAAAAAAAGGTTTGTATCCATTTCAGGTGTAAATGTGCAAAAGCATAAAAAAACAAACAAATAAAAATAAATCTCACTTTACATTTAAGAATTAGGAAACTTTGCATTGACACTATCAATCAATGCTTGATGAGAGATCCAACAGCCGTTACCATCCATTCACTTTGTGAAATGTTTTTATCATAGAGGAAATCAACATTTGTGTGAACAGCATATACAGTTCAAATGTTGTTGCCCATCGTTAGCCACAGAGACCACACTCACAGTCACTTGCTCCTCCTACTTGTTAGAGAATTACTCGTCTTTCATTTAAATTCCCTAGAATGAAAGAGCCAATGTTGATATATATATATATATATATATATATATATATATATATATATATATATATATATATATATATATATATATATATATATATATATATATATATATTCACAAATAATGAATCCATTGATATTAAAACAGAACAATAAAATTCAGGCTAAGATAAAATCTGCTTTACTCCTTAAAACAACAATTTTACAAGATACTCTGACATTATTAATGCCCACATAAGTAATAACCAAGGCTTTACACTGCAAAATTTATCTAGAAATAATTGAAAATCTCTTAAATTAAGTGAAGTTACTCTTAATTTAAAGCAGGAAAACAAGATTGTTTGCCAATGGAATGAGTATTTTTACTCTTAGAGTAAGTTAATTACATAATATGCACTTGAAGTAAGACAATGCAGTTCTTTTTTCTTATTTTAAGTGTAAATTGTCTCGTTTCACTGGCAAAATGTCTCACTTACCCCCCCATTTCAAGAAAAAATGCACTTATTTTAATTTGATTTACATTTTTTGCAGTGTAGGCTCTAAGGCGTCACAGCAGACTGCAATATAATATGAATAAGATAATAAACAACACAAAAGTGCCTTAAGGAAACCATAGAGCACTTAATAATGACAATATCTTTATTTCATTCTTTATAGTATGTTGCATGATATTTTTTAAAAAGGGGGTGGCTGAATAGATACTATCAAAAAAAATTATCAATATCAACATTGGTAATTTACATACCAACAATTTAGAATATGGAGATCTAAAGTTAATTTCTTTTACTTTAGAACTATTGTTTAAATCTAATTACCGGTAAACATAACCAGGCATCAGTATTATTTTTATTTTGGTATATTGATATAAATTGGTTTAGAAAATTCATTAAAATACACTAACCACAAAGTAAT